AGGGGAAGGGACAGCAGGGGAGGGGAGGAGAAGGGAGGAGAAGGGAGGAGAAGGGAGGAGAAGGGAGGAGAAGGGAGGGAAGGGAAGGGGAGGGGAGGGGAGGGCACAGGTGGGGATATAGCTGAGTACAAAGGTTCAGAGTTCAATCCCCAGTAGTCAGGGAAAAAAAACGAGAGAGAGAAAAGAAAAACCTTCTAGAGCAGCAGCATCAACACCACCCAGGAACTGATTAAAGATGTAAAGTCTCAGGCCCCACTGCAGATCTAGAGAATCAAAGTGATGGCAGAAGCCAAGCAGTGTGTGATCAGCCATACCTGGAAAGAATTCCAGCGCCACCCGAAAATGCCAACCACCTGGCAGGGGCAATGGCTTTTGCCCCGTCCCTGTGGCCCTAGGCATCCTGCTTATGGTGTGTTAGAGGTTTCTACAGGCAAAGATTACTGCACAGAAAATTCACACTACATGAGTCTACATGAGTAAAACAGTGCTTCAGGGAAATTTAGGGAAACTCTGAATGTATGTCAGCTGATTTTTTCCCTGGCTCCACTGAATTCTTGCAATAAGTTCTCTTCAGATAATGTGATTTAGGCACAAGTTTAGGTAGCTATCTAAATCAGTGTTTGATCAATGGTATAACAAATCTATGAATTAATAAACTGAGCTTTTGTCTTGTTAACTATTTTAATGAAGATAACCAGGTATTTATTATGGTATCAAATAATGGCCCTAAATTTGGAATGAGGTGAAGTAATTCATTCCCTTCATCTTACCTCATTCTAAACTTAGCAAATGAGATAACTGACTGAACCTTCTTTTTTTATTTTCCTTGTTTTTGAACACTAATGTGCTTTTGCATTTCTATTTCAGCAATTAAAATCTAGAAAAACTCTGTAATATATGTACAGTTATTTACAAGTCTGGAAAGTATGTTATGTAGAATTTCTAGAAATATTTCAGTGTTCTTGTAAAGCTGAAAAGGGCACAAATAATAACAACAAAAGAGACAATAATGTCCAAGTGATAAACAACCAAAAGTCACTGCCAATCTAAGCCAAGTGTTGAAAGGACATAGAAAAATACAGTTCTTAATCACAACCTACCACAAGGGTAGCTCAGTACTTGGATGTCGTCAATGGCTATATAACCACTTCGCCCTCCTGAGACTTCAGCTTCAAATATTACCTGTCAAGAAGAAATAGAAAACATTTATAGCAATCATTTTTAAGAAATGCCCAGAGTCGAAAGTAAGGATGACGGTTGTTACACACTTAAAGGTAAGTTTGATTTTGGGACCACTAGGAATTAAAATTTTGTCTTATCTGTAGGGTAACTTTGTAAACGTTGGACAGGTAAACAAAAAATATTGAGGAATAATTTAATTTCAAGAGTCAAGCAGCTCAGACTTTTTAAAAAAATTATCAAGAACAGTTACATTTCATGAATAGAAAATATAAAGGCAGAATGAAGGCTGGTAACAGTAAATCTGGTATTTCTAAAAGTAATTCTTTCCTACTGACATTATTCATCTCTATAATGTAACTTCCCTTGTACATTTACTATGTTCCAAGGTCCCTGCTAACCACGGAAGATATAAATGAAAAAAAAATTCTGAATTTTTAAACAGCTGAAATTTCAATAATGGAGATGAACAGATAGAATATTGAGTTTTGTGTGTATATGTTTTGTTAATTTACTTATTTACTTTTGACACAGGGTCTTGCTGTATAGTTCAGGCTGGCCTAAACTACTGTGTAGCCCAAATTGACCTGCAACTCACAGCAATCCTCCTGCTTCAGCTTCCCAAGTGCTGGGATAACAGGTGTCCACCAAGACATCGGCATAACTCATATTCCAGACAAAAGGAATGACATAATGAACATAGAGTATGGTGGCATGTTTGCTATAACTATCCAAGACAAAACAGATTTAGTATTTGACATTTCAGCACTGTATTTGACTCTTTCATTCACAGAGAAATACTGATAACCTTGAAAGTGTTTTGCAAAGCATTTTAGAAAATGTAATGAAAGTGATTTTTATCTCCTCCTTTGGTTTTTCAAGACACTGTCTCACTATAGAGTTCCAGCTATCCTTGAACTCACTACGTAGCCCAGGTTGGCCTTGAACTTGTGACTATCTTCCTGCCTTGGCCTCCCTAGGTGTAGGGTTACAAGTGTGCGCAACCATGCCAGGTTTGAAAGTTGATCTTTAAAGTAAAAATACAATTAAATTGGACTACTGAAAACATCTTTCTTTGGCATTAAAATATAAGATGGAGCCAGGCATGGTGGTGCATGCCTGTAATCCCAGCATTCGGGAAGCTGAGGCAGGAGGATCGCCATAAATCTGAGACCAGCCTAGGCTAGATCAGCCAGTTCAAGGTCTGAACTACCTCATCTCAAAACAAAACAAAACAAAACACAAAACATCACCTTCAATATGTCAGTAGCAGTGGAAATATTGAGATTAAAAAAAATGAAAATAATGATGAAGACACGGACAAGACAGAACTTCAAGAAACATAAAATAACTCCATAATTTCTGGCTTTGCCTAGTAGGTGCGTATTGCTGTGGGGACACTGGCCTGGATGAGCAGTGGTACAGAAACTATACATATTTGAGCAAAATATAATAGGTATTTCAGACTTCAAATCTGGTTTCCTTCTGATACATAGAGGGAAGTGCCTACGAGATAACTAGATCAATAAATCCAGAAGAGATGGCTCTCCATGTAGACATACACTTGGAAGAAGGGGAATAAGCTATCCATCTGAAAATCAGTGTGATGGATGAGTAAGATGGTCAGTTACCCACTATCTCAACTCAGGAACAATATGACTGACACCTGCAGTTAGAGGAGGAGCAGCTCGTGTTGGGCACAGGTTCAATAGCTCCAGTCTATGCATGGCCGGCTGGCTCTGAGGCACAAGAGCATGGCGGGAGGGCATGGTGGAAGCATGGCGGGAGGGCATGGCAGAAGAAAACTGCTCAAGCATGGCAGCCAAGAGACGGAGAAAGAAGAAAGGAAAGGGCTGGAGAACGTACCTTCCCAGGTCATAACCCAGTGACCCCCTTCCTCTGATCAGGTCCCTCCTCCAAACATGAGATTTTAGGATACATTTTAAATCTAAGCCATAATATTCCACCCTTAGCCCCCAAAAGGCTCAGGTCCATCTAATGATGAAAAATGAATTTAGTCCATCTTCAGAGTTTCCAAAGGCCTAGCCTTGCTCGCATTGCGAAAAGTCCAAGTCCAAAGACATCTCTGATTCCAAGCAAAGCCCTAGCTGTATTAAAAGGAGCGCTTTCTTAGAAATGGAAGACCAAGACTGAAGAATACAAACAGGGCTAACCAAGCACCGTTAGCACTAGGGGGTAAGGAAGCGAGAAAGATCTCAGGAGCTATCCGGTAGGTTAACACTTTCATCAGACCAACTAGGTAAGGCCAGGTCAGTCACAGATAACCTAATCCAGACATCAGACATTATGCATTCAGAGGCATCTAGATGAGCACAAATCTGGGGAGGAGAGAGCCTCTCCAGTATTATCCAAAGATCCCCAGCTTTTATTCTCTTCTCATGGGGCTGTTTACCAATTTGGGGGTTGCACTGTGATTCGAGCTCAGCACAGCCTGAGGACCCCGGGCAGGAGAGAGTGCAGTGGTGGGATTTGTTACGGCAGCATGAAAAAGGAGTTAACAATCTGCAAATTTGGCAGGTTTCATTTATTTAAAAAATATGTAGGCCACAGCAAATAAGATCAAATATAAGAGACAAGGGGCTGGGGATTTAGCTCAGCGGCAAAGAACCTGCCTGGCAAGTGCAAGGTAGTGAGTTCGGTTCCTGGTACCAGAGAAAAA